GGGCGGTAATGAGAAGACCTTTATATTAGGTGCAAATCTGTTACTATACTCAGACCACGGTTTAATTTAACTGGCACACTTACAATAAAGTAGTTGCTTAATCACTAGTACATGTGCATGGTAGTATGGCAAATGGAAGCGGAAAATAGTATTTCGTGTTTTTATCTTTAATTCTAGTATGACAAATGGAAGTAACGGATGATATGTTCTGTTTGAGTAGTCTTTCGGATGTCTTAGAGAACTTAAAAACATTACAACTTACAACTTACACGATATATGAACCTTTCTGGTACCTCTGTGCCATGTCAGCAGCTTGGTCTGTCTTTATTACGCGTTGTATTCTAGATTGATTCGATAATAAATATCTAAAGATTTGTGAAAAGACAAAAGTAGTAGTATATTTCCAGTTGTATTATTATAGTATTTTTATGTAAAGTAAACTTTTTTTCCTTGATTAATTTGATTATTTTGCTATTTTTTTGTTTCTGCAGGTACGATAATGAATTAAAAAAGGATGTTGCTATCAAGGTCATTGATTTAGAAGAATCGTGAGTGTATAAACTTGGTTATATCTGTTATTGACTTATTATACAACATTTCATACGTGGGTCTGATGCACCCAAAAAAAAAGCTTTCATATATAGGCTACGATTTTTTTTTTTCTCCAGATTTCCTGACATATAATGTTAGAGTTACATATTATAAGAAAGGGAAGATATTGTTTGGTGTAGTTATTATTTGTGCCACAATTACCGCGAAGGGATGACGAAATTTTGGGAATATTCAGAGTTTCTTGTTAAAGAAATAGGGGCAAAGCCAATATGTAGTTCTAAGGAACCAATACGTTAGGATCAATCTGAATATGTTGGCTATTTGACAAGTAGAGGTCATAGTGCTTGTCAACATTGAGGGAAGTTTTAATTTCATGGAACATTAGTCAGCATCATGTAATATAACATTAATCTCATACATGGGACTGAGTGAAAATGTTTGCCGTAAAAGCATCTTCCACGTCAACTTTTTTGTAAAATAACCAAATTACTATTATTGTGAAAAGCCTGATTGACGTGAATTAATTGTCGTTTTCTTTGTTGTGAGCTGTGAGTATATTCGCCTTTACACCCTAGCAACAACTCATATTTCCTTAAAATGGTGAACCTTTTATACAACCGCATAAGAAGGCAAATTAGAAATTCACCTCGTTGGAACATGAAAAAGAAATTTCTCGGGAATAACGGTGGAAATATGCTTAATTTTTTTATTAATTGTGTTGTAACATGATTTCGGGCGCTGGATTTGGAGGATGCATAGAATCTTATTGGGGTGAGAATTGGGTAAGTAAATTGGGAGAGTGGAAAGCCCCAAAAGAATATGATTTGTAAAGTGTGAGGGGTGATTTGGGGTTATGTAAATCTTTGCAGGGACAAAAATGTCCAAGATAGCTGTGAAATAGTTGCAGTGGTACCCATAAGCGGAAGAAATTTGGGGTCGGCTGCTTCGGTTTTAGCATTTCTTTTTCAGTTTTTTTTCCAAATACTTTTAATTGAAGGTTTCGTATGAGACCAAAATCGTTATGAATTAATTTGAGGCCTCTAAGATGTATTAAGAAATAAACTCTTATTCTTATCATAGTTAAGCTTTTTCTCCCTTTCGTCTCTTATACTTGCTTAATTTTCTTACAGGGAGGATGAAATAGAGGACATCCAGAAGGTAGATTTGATATTTATGATTACTCTTTGTGCTTTGGAATTAAAAAGTCGCATTTTCTTATTCAATTTCTTTGTTGACAGGAAATTGCCGTTCTTTCGGAATGTCGATCCCCATACATCACAGAATATTATTGTTCTTATTTGAATCAAACCAAGCTGTGGATAATCATGGAATTCATGGCTGGTGGTTCTGTTGCTGATCTAGTAAGTCGCTTATAGATCCTTCTACTATTTGTGTCTTTATTTATTTCAAACTTCTTCAAAAAAATTCTCTCTAGATTTGTGATTCTGCATTGTGTTTGTGACCTTTCCCTGAAAAAGTGAATCTGCATTGTCACATTTATTAATGAAATCAAATGCCGCCACCTTGCTTTCCATGTTTTCGATTACGGATCTTATTTTTCTTTTTCCGTACATTCAATCTATAGTAGCAAAACAACAGGACCATGAAAGTTAGCGAACTAACAGAAAAAGTACTGTTTTATTCCTATGCAGATCCAGCCAAATCAGCCACTGGATGAAGGTTCCATAGCTTGCATTTTACGTGATTTGCTCCATGCGGTTGATTATCTACACAATGAGGGAAAAATTCATCGAGATATCAAAGGTACATTATTAAACAATATCCGTTCTACCTTTTGAACATGTTTTAATTTCTGAAAGACAATGAAATTAATGATGCCTTTTCTGAAGCTCTGAAGTTTAATCTTCAATCTTCATGTGAAGGCAGAATACAACCTTTTTCATCTAGTGATTGCATATAGCTTCTAGTCATGGTTTTGCCCAATTAATTTGTCAAAAATAATTTTTGGTGCAATGTTTTGGCAGCGGCAAACATTTTGTTGACTGAGAATGGAGATGTTAAGGTATATAATTATATTGGTTACACTTTCTTGGAGTTCTTTATTATTTTTTTTTTATTTATTTTTTTTTTATATTATTTGAATGGGATGAAATTGTGTTGCTAACTTCAATTTATTTATTTTCATCTGATATAGGTAGCAGATTTTGGTGTTTCCGCTCAATTAACCCGGACAATTTCAAGAAGAAAGGTACCCTTAATTTTTGATTCTTGCTCGAAAAAGCACATTTGACAATCTGAAGATTCTCTCCCTTTACTTTTCTTTTGTCTTGATTTTTTTTTTCTAAACGTGCCTCTTTGAAATGTGTGTACGGTCTCTATTGTGCTTCTTGTTACAATCACATCATCGCTACCCCGATTGCATTTCCACCTATTTTTATCGATTTACCACTATTTATTAGTCATGTCTACAGCTGTTTTTGTATTATTTTCTATCTACAAACAAACAGGTTGTATTGCATTACAATCTCGTTCTTGCTCTTATTAAGTCTGAGATGCAATTATCCAAGGAGTCATGAAAATCTCAAGCTAATGCAATTAAAAGTTAACAGACTTTTGTAGGAACACCTTTCTGGATGGCTCCAGAAGTAATTCAAAATGCTGAAGGATACAATGAGAAGGTATTTCTTAAGTCAACTGTCCCGCTCTCGTTTATTTGATTTATTGTAAACTTGTAATTCTTTTACCCCTTATAATTTTTGAGGTTTTCGGTTTGAATAGGCAGATATATGGTCTCTAGGAATAACTGCAATTGAGATGGCAAAGGGAGAACCTCCACTTGCTGATCTCCATCCGATGAGAGTGCTTTTCATCATTCCCCGAGAAAATCCGCCACAGGTTTACCTATCTTTCACATGATTGTAGATTCCTAGCTTATCCCAATATTTAGTCTTTCTTAATTTGTGAAATTTATGTTAATTTTTTGCCATTCAGCTAGACGAACATTTCTCTCGTCCTTTGAAAGAATTTGTTGCTCTGTGTTTGAAGAAGAATCCAGCAGAGGTAGATTCCTTCAACTTCTTTCCATCTCCATGTGTATATGTGTGTGTTGTTAGTGTTGGCGCATAGCTGGAAACTATTATTACCACGTTCCTTTCTAATCCACATAGATATAAGCTGATAAAAAACAATAAGTTTGTCTCATTGATGATAAAAACTATTACTACCATGTTTCAAGTAAGGTTTTTGCTCCATTTTCTTTACGCATACTACGGTAGATTCGAATCAACTTGACTCAGATGTGTCATATGGAATTTGTATCAATCAAAGCTTGCTTTTTGATGCTACCCTTTTGCTGATTCTTAGTATCAAAATTTTCATAATTAGACTTAAAAAGATGGCTGAAGGGTATATTTTATTATGCATAATTGACATTCTGTGGTTTTTTAGCATAAAAAGATATGTATTGAAATATAATAAAATAAGTTTCTGCTTTTCATTTTTTATGTTACTATACTTGACTTTTCTTCTTCTGCTCTCTTTTGTATTTATTCCCGCCTCATATGCTTTATGTCTTTTCATATTTCAATTGTAGAGGCTAAGTGCCAAGGAACTTCTTAAGCACCGTTTTATCAGAAATGCTAGAAAGAGTCCAAGGCTTTTAGAGAGAATCAGGTACGCGTTCATTTCTCTTCATCCTACTCCGTTACAATGAAAAACTATGTCATATACTTGTTTAAATTGAACATTTTGTTTGTTAATTGAAATACAAAATTGGTGATTAATTTAACTATTTAATCCCAAGTGCTCAAGAAGTAAGGTGTTATCAGTACATGGAAATTAGAGACAGATTCAAGATCTTTTCTTTTCTCTCCAAAACTTTGCACCATGTTGTTTTGTGGAAACGTGTAATAGTCTGTAATCATTTGACTTTGTAGAGAGCGCCCCAAGTTTCAAATGGACGAAGAGACTGAAAATGGTCCAACACCATATGCGGAAGCTTCCGGAACTGTAAAGGTGGCTAGAGATGTCGGAGTTGATGACACAGTCCGAGTAAAGTCAGTCATCTGTTAATGCTTCTAAGTCCCGCTTTACGCTCTCAGATTTAACTCTGATTTTATTTTATTTTTAATTATTTTTAATTTTGTTATTACACAGTAGCCAGGCGACTGGTGTGAAAAATGCTGGATGGGACTTCAGTATTGGTGGACCAAATAGCACCGGAACTGTTCGTAGTTTAGTAAGACCGCCTCAGGCGAGAGAAAGAAAACCTGAGGTCCCGTTAAGTCAATCTTCGTCTAGAAAAATGTCAGATTCTGGTAATCAACGGTCTTCTGCTTCTGGAACAATGCGTCACACTTCATCAGAGCTGTCAACGGGGAAAGATGCTAACCATTCATCAAAGCAAGAAAATTATGAAGACGTATGTCATTCTTATCTCTTACTATGTTTTTTTTTTTGGGGTGTGTTTTGGCGCGTGTTTATTACACATTTTGGGAACTCTGTTTTTGTTGGATTGAATGTTGGATACTTACCCAAATCTAAATGTATTGGAGTAGGTAATTATTTAAAATATAAAATTCGAGCAAAATATGAAATTGCAAAAGTCGCTCCAATCTTTAGTCTTTACACTTGGCTTTTGGTAATTGTATCCAGTTTGGCTTCCTTCACTTCGATTTTAGTGAGACTGTTATCATTTGCATCAATCTTCATATTTACCACTATACCAGAAAAAAAAAAATTCTCTGTCCTGCTTTTTTATATTCACAATGGCATTTTCTGATCGGTCCTGCAAAACCATCTGATATTCTTAACTGGCTGTTGACCTTACTTACATTATCTGGATGCAGTTTTTATTATTTCCTAGCTGGTTTTAGGCACTTTGATTCGAGTGGATATAATTTAGAAGTTTATCAAAATTCAGTATTTGCCAATTTATTTGCCCCATAGTCCCTTGCGAATTTTCTACGCATTGTGATTTGGACAGTGTTTCATCTTGTTAAGAGATGGATGAAATAAAGCTTGTGCCATATTTTAAAATATTGAAATCAAGAGAATTTGAAAATTGATTGCCACAATTTTTGAATCTTCTCATATATATATATATTCTCACCTTGCAGGAAGATGGGAGTGGCACAGGAACCGTCGTTATACGATCTCCAAGAGGACCTAAGCCTTCCTCCCAGTTCAGCAGCCAAAGTTCAATGGTATGAAACATTTATCTGATCGAGGTTTATAAAAAGAACATTTATTTTTCTCGCTGTGTTACAACTTACAATAAATAAATAATAAAAGGCTTCTGTTATTGATGTTTCAGTCAAGCAGCACATATGCCTCTGCTGAAGATGCTTCCAACAGTGGCACTGTTGTTTATAGAGGGCATCACGAAGATTCCGATTCTCCTAAAACTCCAAAGTCGAGGCTTGGCCTTCAAGAGAAAGCCTTTAGTGCTCTTGAAGACAGTGAACTGAACCTCGCAGAGGTTCGTTTGTTCGTACTTTAGCTGATTTTTTGTTATCTTCATGTTTATATGTCTGATTCTCGCTCGAGATTTTTCTTGCCTGTTTTCGTTTACTTCTAACATGAGCCATACTGGGTCTTTCTTTCTATGACAGATTAATGAGGGATTTTTATTCTGATATGTTAAATGTCATTTCAATTTTACTAATACCGTTTTGACTTCAAAAGTTGACCCCTTTGTAGTCTGATTTTGGCAAAATTTAAAACACGGAATATGTAGCCCTTTGAGATAGCTTTCTAACCCAACTTGAATCAATTAGATAGGATGTCGGGTAACAAAGTATGCATCAATGAGTTACATTTTGAATTTTAGATAACTCAAAATTTCAAAATTGTGGGAAGTGTTCATTGATTCATGTATATCTTTCTCACCCGACATCCAATCTTGGTGATTCAAGTTGGATTAGAAATCTAACTCAAAGAACTATAAATTCCATGTTTTGGGTTCTGCCAAATTCAGCTTCGAAAATGGTCAAAATCACGTTTGAAGTCAAAACGGTATTGTTAAAACTAAAACTACATTCATCACATTCCATTTTTATTCTATGCTACATTTATTACATGGGTCAACTTGACATTAAGTAGGATTGAAAGGAGCTTGTTTCGTTCGTCATATGGTTTGTCTTTTGAAGCATATTTCTGCGATTTTATTCAGGCCAGAGCAGCAATTCAAGGAGGAAGAAAAGGCAACATTAGGGAAAAGTCGGAACTGAGGAAGGTCAATAGAGACGTGCAAGAGATCAAAAAAGCCGAGCAACCAACAAAAAGTTCTGACCCATCAAGGTATTTGACCTTAAAATTGCATTTGACCTTAAATTTGTTCGATGTTATTAATTCCGTCTTAAAACATGAAACATCAAATCCAGACATTCTCGTGACTATTTTGACGCACAAAAAGCATTTTCAAGATCACACCATACGGGTGACGACGAGGACAATGCAAGGAGTTCTGCAGCAGCTTTGTCTGCCCCTTTGTCTGTACTTCTAATCCCTTCACTTAAAGACGTAAGTATATGGTCTCCCTTTTAAAACCATCTTTCACTAAAAAATCGAGCTTCGCATTGTTATCTCTGTGAAGGAGAGCGATTTGAAGTAGATTTTGTCTGACAATATCCTAAGAATTTATAGTTTTTATGTAGAAATGTCTTTTGCATGGCATCTTTTAATTTCGATTATCAACATAATAACACTATATGGAGTAAAATTATGCACCATGGTCGTCTTTTAATATTGTTGGTTTTAGAGGGCAGGTTCGGAAACCATGAAAACTTGTTTTTTCTTTGAGGTTGAATATTCTTAAGCAAGATGTCGGGATAGTATAATTGAAGACGACTGTATTATGATGTATTGCTGCAATACAGGCAATTGGTGAGGATTCGGGCCGATCGGTCTTTCAGACGGTGGCTAACTCTTTAATGGATATGGAGCGTGTTAAGCCTGGCTCTTCCGAACTATTTATCACCAAGTTACTACAGCAACTAGCAAGGTTTTTTTTACTCGCATTTGATATTTTACGTTATAAAAAAAAAAAAAAGCGACATATTCTTCATAGTTATGTTTTTCTCAACTAGAGTGAAAAAAATATGTGTAGTTCGAAGGAAGATTCTCTGAAAGACCTGCAGGAGCTAGCAACTCAAATGTTTGTCAAGGGCAAAATAGAGACAACGGTTATAAATACAGAAGCCGATGATAGCAGAAAGAAGCCACCAAATAAGGAGCTTCATTCGAATTCCAATATGAGCCCACTTGCGAGGTTCTTGCTCTCGAGGTTAGTCAAAAAGCTCGTTTTTTTTTCCGTCTTTTCGCCCACTCTTTTTTCTTCTCTGCGTGAATCCTCGTTTTTACAACGACCCTTTTGTTAAATATCATTTTAGTAAATTATAAATCTTTGTTTTACTGTATCTATCTATTAATGTCACTGTATCTATCTATTAATGCAGATGGCAAGGCCATGCTTCTCGAGATCTAAATTCTTGAAAAATGACGTCATAATTATGGTTTTTTTTTTGGGTGATATTGTCCTTTTTTCTCTTGAGTTAAATGAGTGAATGTACATACCATTGAAGGAAACTGTTAATTGTAGCTTCCATCATTTAGCTATTTTTATATAGTTATAAAATGTTACTTTTACTTATTTATTTATTTATTTAATTTTTTTTTCCTTTTTAGCCAAAAGCCAATATTATCAAGTGTCTAGTGTGCCTTGTATTGTAAAGTGTAGACGCATAAAATTAATTAATTGGTTAATTAAATTAGCCAATTAAATTGTGTCTAAATTAAATTATAATTTATCTTGCAAAACAAGTCATGGGGATAATTATCAATTAATTATTGGCCAATAGGATTATTTCTTCTCTTCCAAGTTATAAGAGATAAATATCAATTTAAAGAGAGCCAATGAAATCGCACCACGTCATCAAGCAGACTTTAAGTAGGACTCTTATTCTACCACTATAAATAGGGACCCTCCCTACACAATTTAAAACACAACTCAAGAAGAATAAAAATCGTAGGAGAAAATTCTCTCTACAATATTCAAGTCGTTCTTCATCAAATTCAAGGCGTTCTTCATCAAATCGAAGGTGTTCTTCATCAAATCAAGGCGTTAAAGCGTTTAATTCGAGATTACGGTGCTAAACCCTCGAATCAACGTTATTAGCATCAAATCAAGATCGAAGGAAGATTGAAGGGCCAAATCCATCAAGAACTCCAAGATCTTCAAGTCAAAACCCGTCAAAGTTCTGCGTTCGATCCGAGATTCAAGTCGCAAGACCCTCGGAAGACGTTATTCAAGTTCAAAATCAAATCCGGAGAAGATCAAGTCAACGATCCGACTCCGAAATTCAAAATCAACATATATTGTTCTTGAGAGAAGAATCAGAGGATTAAATTAGAGTTTGTAACCCGCAATATTTTATTTTAATCTAATAAATTATCTTTGTGCAAGTTTTTCTTGTTTGTCTAAATCGCAGATAAGAATTTGTTGTTACAAATTTTGGCACGCCCGGTGGGACATCTCTACCTCTCATCTCTTCTCTCTCTCGAAGTTTCTCGAAGTGTTGCAGTGACTGCTCTACGTTCACAATGAAGATTGCTACTTCGGATTCATCAAGTGTGGGCTTGGGTACAAGGAGTATGGCTAAGAAGCTGCAAGCATCCTCCGAGACTAACTCGACGCCTCAAACCATTCAGAATGGCTTACCACCTCTTGTCAACACAAGCGCAGACGTGAAAGGTTCAAAACGAGAGATTTCACAGCCCACGCCTCGTTCAACATCAAGCTACTCAGAGGTGGCATCCGTCATGACAACAAACACTACAACCATGGAGGAGCAAATTGCGAGTTTGACAAAGGCCATTGAGGGACTCGCAAAGCATGTTCAACAACGAGATTCTCAAATTGCCGAGTTGATCAACAAGATGGACAAAGCCGATGCTAGTCAAGCTGTGGAGAATCAGATAGAGGTTCAAGACGAAGTCGAGACATCCACAAAGCATCAACCAGTTGAAAACGAGAAGGCTCCAGCTCAAGAACTTCAAGTTTCTCCAGAAAGGATGATTCATGTAGATCAAGTGATGACGCTGATCAGTGGAACCATCAAAGACAAGTTGGAAGGAAGCTCGAATTCTCCATCAACCTATGTCAAGCCATACACGCAAAGGATTGATGATCTAAGGATGCCAATGGGCTATATACCTCCAAAGTTTCAACAATTTGACGGCAAAGGCAACCCCAAGCAACATGTGGCACACTTCGTCGAGACTTGCAATGATGCCGGGACGTACGGAGATCACCTCGTCAAGCAATTCGTCCGATCTCTCAAAGACAATGCGTTTGATTGGTACATTGATTTGGGGGCAAACTCCATCGATAGTTGGAAGCACTTAGAGGAAGAATTTCTCAACCGCTTTTACACCACTCGAAGAACAGTCAGCATGATTGAGCTCACCAATTCCCGCCAATGGAAGAAGGAACCTGTCATCGACTACATCAAACGTTGGAGAAATTTGAGTCTCAATTGCAAGGATCGACTGTCTGAGACATCAGCTATTGAACTGTGCATCCAAGGAATGCAATGGGGACTTCGATATATCCTTCAAGTAATTCAACCTAAAAGTTTTGAAGAGTTGGCCACTCGAGCACATGATATGGAGTTGAGCATACTTGCAAATCAAATTGAAGAATCGCCATTCCAAAAGCCGTACCAGCTCAAAGAAGTGCATCTTGAAGAAGAACAAGAAAATCATGAGGATGGGGGCAAATCTTTTGAAGAGGCAACACCCTATGCAATATGACAAGTCAAATCAAATGAAGTACTCATTGACACGAGTTTAAAAGGTCTACATGTCCAAGTCAAATGAAGTACTCCTTGACACGAGTTTAAAAGGTCTACATGCCCAAATCAAACAAAGTACTCATTGACACGAGTTTAAAAGGTCTACATGTCCAAACCAAGTGAAGCCCTCCTTGACACGAGTTTAAAATGTCTACAAGTTCAAATCAAATCAAGGCTCCTTGATACGAGCATAAACTATCTACATATCCAAGTCAAATCAAGGCTCATTGATACGAGCATAAACTATCTACATATCCAAATCAAGTCAAGGCTCCTTGATACGAGCATAAACTATCTACATATCCAAATCAAGTCAAGGCTCCTCGATACGAGCATAAACTATCTATATATCCAAATCAAGTCAAAGCTCCTTGATACGAGCATAAACTATCTATATATCCAAGTCAAATCAAGGCTCCTTGATACGAGCATAAACTATCTATATATATCCAAATCAAGTCAAGGCTCCTTGATACGAGCATAAACTATCTACATATTCAAATCAAGTCAAGGCTCCTTAATACGAGCATAAACTATCTATATATCTAAATCAAGTCAAGGCTCCTGGATACGAGGATAAACTATCTATACATATCAAGTCAAATACATATCAAGTCAAGGCTCTTTGATACGAGCATAAACTATCTATATATCCAAATCAAGTCAAGGCTCCTCGATACGAGCATAAACTATCTATATATCGAAATCAAGTCAAGGCTCCTTGATACGAGCATAAACTATCTACATATCGAAGTCAAGTCAAGGCTCATTGATACGAGCATAAACTATCTAACAAATCCAAGTCAAATGCTCCTTCAGCACGAGCTTAAACTGCAAATGTTTCTCCTTGTCCACATGAGTGTAAACTGTGCATGACATCCCTCAAAAGGATATATTTTGAACTACGTTATGACTTGATCCCTTTATAAGGTACGTAGGCAACTTAGAATCTCTCTAAGTTCAGTCATGATTTCAAAAGATATATGTGCTTTGCTAGATCGAACTGCAATTGAAGTTGAGCAATTATCGAGACTCATTCACTCCAAGATGCATTGTCCGTGAACAAGTCTCGAGGGGGCATTTGTAGACGCATAAAATTAATTAATTGGTTAATTAAATTAGCCAATTAAATTGTGTCTAAATTAAATTATAATTTATCTTGCAAAACAAGTCATGGGGATAATTATCAATTAATTATTGGCCAATAGGATTATTTCTTCTCTTCCAAGTTATAAGAGATAAATATCAATTTAAAGAGAGCCAATGAAATCGCACCACGTCATCAAGCAGACTTTAAGTAGGACTCTTATTCTACCACTATAAATAGGGACCCTCCCTACACAATTTAAAACACAACTCAAGAAGAATAAAAATCGTAGGAGAAAATTCTCTCTACAATATTCAAGTCGTTCTTCATCAAATTCAAGGCGTTCTTCATCAAATCGAAGGTGTTCTTCATCAAATCAAGGCGTTAAAGTTCGAGATTACGGTGCTAAACCCTCGAATCAACGTTATTAACATCAAATCAAGATCGAAGGAAGATTGAAGGGCCAAATCCATCAAGAACTCCAAGATCTTCAAGTCAAAACCCGTCAAAGTTCTGCGTTCGATCCGAGATTCAAGTCGCAAGACCCTCGGAAGACGTTATTCATGTTCAAAATCAAATCCGGAGAAGATCAAGTCAACGATCCGACTCCGAAATTCAAAGTCAACATATATTGTTCTTGAGAGAAGAATCAGAGGATTAAATTAGAGTTTGTAACCCGCAATATTTTATTTTAATCTAATAAATTATCTTTGTGCAAGTTTTTCTTGTTTGTCTAAATCGCAGATAAGAATTTGTTGTTACATAAAGAATCATGCATTTGGCAAATGTTGATTAACGTTCACTTGTATTATCAATTTGGATTTGGGGCGACTATTTGCAATACTAAAAATCAATACTAAAAATTTCCAAGTAGAAGACCACCAACATAAATATACTATTTTACCCTTAATGGATATTTGCAATGTTAATATTTGAGTTTTGTCCAATCACCAATTAATAATATGTATTAGTTATAGAAGTACTATGTTGTTTTTATGTGAAATAAAAAATCTAGAAATAAATTTGACTTGACTCACGTGTAATCCACCAAACCAAATCCTAAATTCCGTAGTGGGAGTTGCAGCATTTGTCACATTCTATATTTCCGTATGACATTTTCATTGTCTCTGTTTCATTTCTTAGTGCATATGTTTATAAAGCGTGGTCAACTTGCATTTTTCAATGAACATGTTGTTGTTGCTCCCACTATTTGCCATTTCGTCGTGTATTTTTATTGAGGTGTATGGGATTTAGGATTTGATTTGATGGGTTTTATAGATGTGTGAAATTTGTTTCTAGAGAGAGACACCATTGTTTGCCATTAGATAACTACGCTTACATACATACTATTGTTTTTTCTATTAGTTATTCTAGATAATTACACACATATATAAACAATCTAAAATGTTATAAAATATATTACCCATAGAATATTACACAAACATATATAAACTATCTGCAATGTCGAGAAAAAAACATTTTTTTTTCTATACTATATATATATATATATATATATATATATATATATATATATATATATATATATATATATATATATATATATAATCTCAACTCTATTGTAAATAAGGTTTGACTGAATTAGAGAGTTTGATACCAGATGGTGCCTAAAATCTGCACCCTCAAAATCTCCTACCCTACTCGTTAGGTTGTCGGAAAACTCAACCTATGCCGGATTTTAGATCGACGGTAATGAATCGAAAATGTAAAAGTAAAGA